TTCATTTTCCTCACTAAATCTCCTAATGTGACTTCAAGTCACGTCATAAAATTCCAAAGTTTCAAATTCATAACAAAAAGTCCAAATCTCAAAATCAACTCTTACGATATTTTTCATGAACAAAAATCCAAAAATTAAAACAGAAAAATTATAATTCAGACATAAAATAAACCCGACCGGTTCCAAAACAGGAAAATTATATCGGACACAAACCCGACCGGTCCCAGAATCCGAAAACTATATCGGACACAAATCCGGAAAAATTCGCTTTTTATGAAGATCACAGTAATCGCTTATCAAAAAAAATTTATATGACTACTACGACTACTTTTCTGACATTAGTATCGCTTAGTATTCGCGAGTATTGACAGTTGATGTTTTAGCGTCAGATTGTACTGTAACTGTACGAGTATAGACTACATTACAGTACTTTATCGTCATGTTATAAATCCCCTTTCTCTAAGGATAGGGTTTTGCTACTAAGTCAAATTTCTTTACAATTTGAATAGACGATGAAACGCCCTTTCTTTAGATTAGGCATTTGCTCTATAGGGCTACTTCTATAGTAATCTATATAATACCTTGCAAAATAATGAAGAAGAAAAGATGGCGACATGATGATTTGGCAGGGTAAAACTTAAAGACACTATCACTTTCTAGGTATTTTCTATAGTAAAATAATACTAATTACATACTAAAAACTACAAAGGACTCTACTTTTAGTCCTTTTACTACATTAAGATTCCGTTTTTAATATTTATATAATAATGATTAAATGATAAATCCTGTTGGATATATTCCTAAATCTAAAATGGATTCAATATCATTCTTTAATTTTAAATATTTTGACTATTCTTGTTTAATGCTTTTTCACACATATAGATTGTGATTCGCGGAGTTATTGATAATACTACTGAGCCATATGAATACAAAAAAGTTATTGTACAGCGAGTAGTTATTTGGTCTGAAGGTAACTGATAGAATAATACTCGTATATCGCCAATAGCCATTGTGAATGCTAAATCATTAATCCGATATGATCACAAGCGTATGAATATTTAGCATCTAAATGTTTATAATTTAAAGTCATAGCTGCCATTGTTCGTATTTACCATGCGAATTTATTAAAGACTGCTTCGAAAATAGGATGATATTAATTTTTAGTTTTGTGAAGTAACTACGATAATAATCTGAGACCACTGCCCAGTTATGAGAGAAAAACTAAATATTACTAGCAGAAAAATATATAAAAGTTTGGAATATTATATTATTTTAGGTGAATATTTTAAAATTATCTTTTATTAAAGCAATAAGTACTTAATCACGTACCAGTTGTAAGTTACTACTTGAAGATAAGGATGAATTTTATAAAAGTAAATATGAACTGTCATCACCTGAAAGTGCAACGGCTATTATGCATGTTCTAAATATGAGAATATAGGGTTGTTATTCTCATGCAATCTGACCTCTTTTTCTATTCTTAAACCATGGAAATGCAGATACAGTTTGTTATGTCGGTAAAGGGCAATCTTATCGGGGATACGTAACAGTAACCAGAACTGGAGCTACATGCCTAAATTGGAATGGCCCTACACCATACTCTTCATATGATAGCACTGAGGAAGTATCGCTAAATCGTTGTCGCAATCCTGATGGTGCTAGAGATAGACCTTGGTGCTATACCAAATACCATGCTAACAATGTGACTTGCGGTTTCGATTATTGTGATATCCCGCAATGCTATAATAATGTTACGGATAATCCACCATTTACGCTAGGAAGTAAGCACTATCAATCGAAGCATATGTGTTCTTCTACTATAAACTACGGATTGATCATGAATAGAATACGGTACCTTTAATCCTTACTCTGAGCATTTATTAAATCTATTTGACTAAAGCAATATCTGAATCTGCTATATTAACAATTTTAATCGCATCATGTATTCGAGTGTTTATAAGCGTAACTTGAATTATATAGTCCAGATCCTATCTTAACGAATTAACTTATCTTACTTAATAGGTATAAATTAAAATTCTTATTGAATCTTTAACTTTATCGACATTAACGAATTAGATAAAATCCCAGTTGCCTTAGCTCACCTAAACACCAATACGAATCAATACGTTGGTAGAATCGCCTTTTATATTGGTGGTAACTGGCGCGTACTGTGTCCTATTAATACATCTGGAAATATATCGGCCAACGCTTTCAATTTGATGTGCCGGCAGATGGCTTTAGGTCAATATGGAAGCACCTGGAGTACGTGAAATAATTTTAATGCCATATTAATAGTTTAGCGAAATGAAAGTCATTAAGCGTAAGGTAATAATCATTCTTATGTACAGCAGATTATCCGCCGAATATCTTAAATGGACCATGTAATGCAACCAGGGACATTAAATGCCCTGCAAATGCTGCATCATTATCGGATTGTAACGTCATTAGTTCCACACCCGGTTCTTCATCCAGAGGTTGTTGGTTAGCCTGTTATCCACCAAAACCACAATCTGTTCTAAGTATGTCAAAATAACTGCTCCATAGAAAATACAAGAACTCATACGATAATTGTTAAGATTCAAGGATACATTTATAGTGAACTAATGATAATTATAATGTTCTATTACGAAGCTAAAAAGAACTAATGCAATTATTTTTATTTGAAACACTTTGCTTAGCTAAGAATCCATACGTTCTTTCGCTTAGTAATAATAATGGTTCAAGCGGAATTGTTAAAATTAAATATAACAATCAAGAAGGTGGCATTTGTACCAATGGTTGGGATGCATTTTCGGCTGATGTCGTTTGTCGCCAACTTGGCTATGCTGCGTCGTTATCAGCTTCTGATAAGTTCTATACACAGTCTCTAGCTTAATGTGAAACTGGTAAAAGAAATTTAATCATATTAGACAAAATTTTTAATGTTTGTCATTTTATCCTATCAGTTTCTCTATCTGATCCGTCTTTTCCACTCCATTGATCACATCGATAAAGTGTCGGGGATACGAGACTAAGCTTAGCGAATGCTTAGCAACTACTAGTGACACCAAACCATGCTTTAATTCAGACATAGCCACGGTTTCTTGTATTCCTCATCAAACTACTTACGGTTTGTACCTATAATTCCAATATCAATCAGCTAAACTGATGGTGTTTTTGTTAGGATTTTTATTCTCATTATTTTTATCAGCACCTTATATTGCAGCTGAATTTAATTTTCTGGTAGTGGGGTCGATGTCCTTGTTAAATCTCATATCAAGACAGTGGATTAGACACTGAAGGCACTAACTGTGCAATTTTAATTATAGATTCAAGAAATCAACCAACAAACTGTAATTTTAATAAAAGATTATGCGGATGGAAATCTTCAGGTAGTTTAGAATGGATCTGGCATAATGGCAACAGTAACAAGCGTTACAATCCAGTTTTTGCAGGTATTTGATATATAATATCTTATTTGGGGTAATTCCGTACTGGTATTTAAGATGATGATTTGAAGATCAGCTTACTTTACAAAAATTTAAACTCTCATGACTATATGAAAAATTTAGGCTTGAAAGATAATTATTACGCTTATGTCAAGAGATTTCCATATAATTCGACAGTTTCTACAGCAATTCTACGAAGTCCAGTTTTACGACGAAATTCAGATAGTCAGTCAGTGGAGGAAGCTTCAAAAAGTCGGGCTGTTTTCTTTAAGACAGATTTCTATGAGCTATTATGACAATGCCAACATCAAATTGACTCATTTCTATTACATTTGATTTTGCAAAAAAGATGTATTACCGTCGTTTGATTATCGGCTTTCAAACTGGAACCTACGCTATCAGGTATCGATACGTTAACAGCACATTTATCACCTTAGATTTTGGAGTTGTAGTTCCAAGTTCTCGAGAGAGCTGGAGTAAAGTTGGTGTTTCGCCGAATCAATTCTATCCCACCGGAGATTTTACTGTAAGTCATGCAAAATAAATCTTAAGATACGAGTTAATTACGCCTTATTTACAGCAAATACTTTTATTCACTCAATTATCCATACAGATGGAAATCGTGTATGAACTGCGTGGCTCAAGTACACCGTCTTCAGGCGGCATCCTAATCGATGATATTGAAGTAACTAATTCCAAGGAAGGTAATGATTACCAAATAGAATATAGAAGAATGAAATAGGAACAAGGCTTAATTTTTTGATGGAGTACCTTATGGTGTTATTGTGTCTTAAAGACTAAAAAGTTCTTCAATACGCTAGTTAATTCCGGAACCAATAAAGCATTGGTCTATTTCATGCTGCAACCGTGGTGGGGATAGCCATTTTGAGTACCTTGCTGACACTATCGCCCTCGAGTCTGCTATTTTGATTTATGGATGCTTCTGGATAGGCGAAATTGAACCAAAGCCTTTAACGCTTATTGTTGTAATTATTTAGATAATTAATAGATCTCAGATACTCTGATCCAATATTTATAGTAGTTTTTACAAGTACGTTCAGCTCAATGCCTGAATCTGGGACTAAGCAAAGTACTCTGATTATTTAGCAAGATTATCGAAGATAACAGAGTATCTAATACTGTATGAGATCTAATTTAACTTAGGTAATTATTATTTTACAACATTGACACGAGATCCAATAAGCTGAAAGTTTTTCGACGCTTGATGTAGATACCGAAGTTGTAACTTTTAATGGTAGTTTATTAACAACTTACAACGCTAATGATAGATTCAATAAGAAGTAAGTCTTCTGCCACTTAGCATGGATACCAACTTTTTTAGTTTTATTGATAGTTTATTAATAACTTATAATGCTAAGACAGATCTAATAAGGTGTATACTTTCTGACTCTTGATATGGATTCCGAAGTTTTTAGCTTTTAATAATAGTTTATTAATAACTTAAAACGTTAACGATATATCTAACAAAGCGCATGTATTATGATACTTGATATGGATACCAAAATTTCTAGTTTTTAATAACAGTTACTAATAATTTTAATGACAGATCCAACATGTTGCAAGTCATTTGACATTAGATATGGATACGGAAATATTTAGCTTTTAATAATTGTAATAGAAGTTATTTAGCCTAGTAACTACAACAATGTCAGTTTGCTTAGGAAAGTTAAAGTTAGAAAGATCAAATAAAGCACTTGAAATTATAAATCATATTTTGATGGAGATTCAATGACTGATCCAATAATTTTTTGTTTGTATACTGATACTTGAGTGTAAGGAATAGTCCACAGATACTATACACATTTGCCATAAACTAATGGGGCATTGTTGAAATATGCCGGTTGTACAATTTTACTTACATTAGTATCAGAATGCGAGATAAATTTAGAATATAACACAGTGTAGAATCTAATAGTAAACAACCTTAATTATTATAAATCAATCAACGATCAATTAAGACCTAGAGAATCAGCACCACTAAATCATTTAAGAGGCTCAAATTAATAATAACTCACTAACAAGGAAGGTTGGTGCTAAATTAAATATCATAATAAACATAATCATGTCATAGTCCATTATTACTTCCAACTAGAAATTAATTTACACATAACAAGAATGAACATCGTGACACGCACTAAAATTTTTACTAACAGTTACTGGAGAGCGTATTGAATGTTGGTGCTAGACATGGTTACAAAACTCAATCGTTTCTTGGTTTCGAAGAAAGTTATCCAAAACTACTTTTTCTACTATTTCCCCGAAATGGTTTGCTTTAAAAGATATGTGGCCAACGGATTGCTTTGGGCTCTACTCAATTGTAGGTAGTATTCATTCCAATAATAATTTTGGATACTGTAAGGAGCGATATAAGCGAATCAAATCAAATTTGTACAGGTAGTTGTTACTTAACTAAACTTGCCTAATCTAAACTAATTAAATTACCCTAGATAAGTAACAATAACTGAGAAATGCTCTTTCGGAATCTTCTAGCTATATCTTTATTCTAGAAAATACAAGTCTAATTTAATATTCAAAGTCAATCATTTAAATAGCTGTTCTAGCAATAAAACCGGCTTACGATGTGTGATATATTTCGACCAATAAGACTTCGTGAATACATTAAATTATTCCTAGTCTAATCCAATGAATTTGTAATATTACTATAGATTAACTTTATGTTTTCTCTAGCTTATAATTAACAGGATTTATATCGAATTTACCATTGACAATTCATATACTATATTTAGTATAATTTAAGCTGTATTAGGAACAGGTCTGTATCGGCTATATTAAGTCTTAAATTAATTCATGCACATATCCAAATTGATAACTATCTTATTGTGATCCATATACATGTCTAAATTAAGTAAGATATCATTCATCACGGTTGATTCACTACCGTGACAAAAGTACAGTTTGCACAGCGTTTCTGTATAGGGAATAAAAATGAATGTCTGTATTTCCGGGTAGGAAGTCAGAATAATTGTGAATTTCTCTGCAATATATAGGTAATGTAGGAGTATGTCCAGTTCAGTGTGTTGTGCATTTATATTTGTTTCTGTTACGAAATCAAGGTTACTGCAAACCTTAACATTAAAAAAAATGATGTTGTATGACGTCGTTGTATAACACTGTAATTTACTAGCAAGTCATTATCAACCAATATTACTATTATGTTCGTGGTAAACGGTGTAGGTTCAATTGAGAATCATTTATTAATAAATTTATGAAGGTATTTATACATTTGCTAAATTACTTCACTTATGGTTTAGCTAAATGATTATCTATATCAGATGTAAGATTAGCTTAAAATGATAATTACATAATTAGAACGTTAATCATTTTAAACCGTGATCCTACAGTACGACTTTTAACCATTCTATATATAATACTACTTTACAGTGTGCTGTATATGGAATTGCTCCATATATAACAATTACGATATAATGTATTCAAAAGCTAGTCAAATTATGAATTGTCTTGACCAGCTCTAACAGGATTTGCAGCCATAGTCACCTTACATTTCTGCTTTATTCGCTACAAAACAAAAAGACAGGATTAGATGTAGAGCGAAGTAAGTCTACGAATGTACAGTTATGTAGATACTTGGTTGTCAATTAAGAGCTTTGCTGATGCCATTTTTTTAAATCGGATAAACTTATGCTAAGCAGTATCACTACGCTCAAATCTAATTTAATACGGTATAACATTGGTTTGTACAATTGATACACCAAATACAAGTTTCATAACGAAATTAAAACGACCAAACTAGCTAAGACCAAATAGGCTATGATTAAACTGTGATTATTGACAGGTGGCTGAAGGGTTGTTATAAAATTGAAATAGGGTTAGGTTTTCTTAAGAAATTATTGGCATCAGATTGATTTTATCGCAATGATAAACCAGTATTTGTATGAATGCTATCGATTTGTTTGTGATATAATCTTGTCTTATGCAACAGAAATTGATGAGAATTAAATCACTTGGCTGGCTTAAGTTAAAATCTCGTACTAATGAAATGAATAACTTCTAATTGGCTAGGTCTGTACTTACGTATCGTGATAAGGTAAGCCAACATGAGTGTCAAAGAAGTTAAAACAGTTTACAAATTCAATGAAATGAAATTGCAAATTAACCAATCGTTAACAAGAGTTGGACTCAGGCATATTTTGTCAAGATTACTTTACAGTTTACGAAGATGATGTCAAGATACGAGAATAAAAGTAGTAGTCGATAAAAGTTGGCAATCGCAGTAGCTAAGGTAGTCGAATGCAATACTGTTAGACTGTGAGGAATGCATCTAGGCTAAATAGAATTTAGAAAATTGAAAAGATTAGCCCAACCTGTAATTTTGGAGCTGATTATAAAGAAGAATTCAGAATAGCTTGCAACCTACAATATTTATTTCTATTGACTCAAAATCTCCCTATCTAACATTAATTCCAGTATAATTTCATTGTAATATAAGTGATTTTATTTTCCAATGCTACGAGTTATCGTGCAGATATTATCAATGCTAGCATGCATAAATACTAAAATGGAGGAGGAAAAGCATACTTCTGCAGTATTGAAATACTCGTGTCGTGAGTATAGCATTTGAGTTCAATTCTGATTTAAGCGTGGAATTACTAATATGCGCTACAGTAGGCTATAACACTTGCGAAGTTTAACGCGATTGGTTGCTTGTACCCCGTGTAATGTAACTAGTATTGTGATTGTAGACTGTTTGCCATGTTTAGTATGCCGTTTGGATTACACTGTGCTCCAGCTACGTTCCAGCGTTTGATGAATGCAGTGCTAAAAGATTTACAGGGAGTTGCTAGTGTCTACTTGGATGACACTATCGTCTATAGTGCAAATTGGAAAGAACATTTGCAGCACCTGGGAACTGGTATTCGATCGATTGCGACAATTTGGATTAAGTGTTATAGAAGAAAAGCGCAATTTCGCAAGCAACACTGTGTCATATTTGGGACACACGATTGGAAATGGACGAATAGCGCCTATAGATGTACATGTTAGAGCCATAATAAAATTCAAGACGCCAACTACGAAGAAAGAAGTACGTTCATATCTTGGAGCTGTTGGCTATTATAGGAAATTCATAAAAGAATATACCGAATGGACTGCGCCATTGGTAGAATTGACTAAGAAGGCAAAGCCGAATGAAGTGAAATGGACCGAACAATGTGAAGAAAGCTTCCAGAAATTAAAGGAGAAATTAGCAAGTGGTCCGACTTTGAAAATTATAGAGCCGGATAAGAAATTCATCCTGCAAACGGACGCCTCCGAAGTTGGTCGTGGAGCCGTATTGTTTCAATTGGATGAAAAAGGCGAAGAAAGGCCCGTAATATTTGCTAGCCGAAAACTGAAGCAAGCTGAAATCAATTACACGGTAATTGAAAAAGAGTGTTTAGCTGTTGTTTACGCTGTAAAATTGTTCTACATTTACTTAGATGGTCGAGTGTTTGTTTTACAAACTGACCATAAGCCGCTAATATGGCTTGCTCATATGTGTAACGATAACCAGCGGTTAATGCGTTGGTCTATGTTTTTGTCGCAGTTTAAGGTTAATATTAGACATAGACCGGGTAAAAGTAATGGCAATGCAGACGTATTATCTAGACTAGTAATGGATAATTGATTATTTGACCAGCGTGCCGGGAAAACTTTTGTAAGCTTGTTAGTTTGTAGAATTTTGTATTGGTACAAAATTCTAGACGGACGAAAGTAACGTAACTAGTATTGTGATTGTAGACTGTTAGCCATGTTTAGTATAATAATGTACGGTAGATATTTATCCTATGAGATATTTGGTAGCCATAACTATAGACTGTAGTGGTATAGACTCTATGCTAGAGTGCAGATGACTATATACAGTAAGGTGTTGAGTTACTAATAAGGCTATAGGTAAAAATAGAACTGTAAATCATATGTTAGGATATGGTTAATTCATCGTACTTTGGCTGGTGTGAATAATGTCTACGTAAGTACTGTTGTCGTATCCATATCGGATTAATGATGGTCCGCAGTAGAATAGTCTTACTAAGAATAATTTAACTATGTGTAAAAAAAGGTAAAAGGTTGCCATGCGGATTGTAGCTGCGAATGCTACGGAAAGTATAAAAGCATGCAACTTTAGATTATTCTGTTAGTTCGTTGTAGAAGTCTTTAGAAGTAGTATTCGGCTAGAGAAGAGCTGTGTGTAGTTAATCTTTGTATAAGATCCAATAAAGCCCTTATTTTATTAAAATTTGGAATTTCGTGATTGGTATATATCACACCCCGGTAAAATATGGTAATTTAATGCCCGTATTTAGCGCGTGAAAGCGTGATAATGTTACTACCATTACTTACTAGGTCATGCACTAGGATTTTATAAGCGTATGTATCGAGTAGATCGCGAGTTCTTCTTGTTCATAGTTTGTTATCAATACAGTTGCAGTTAGTTTTATTGTATTAAAGCTTAATTCGACTTTTAAATCCACTTAGTCTGACTTATTGTGGACCCTTAAGAATTGACTTCACTACAAATACATTCATGATGCAAAATTGCCTTATCAATCAAATC